AAAGAGGCCCGTGTCACTGGAAAGAAATACAGAAAGAAAAGGATGGCAGGAGATGAGGCTGGAGAGACAGCCAGGTTCCTCATCATGCAGGGTCTTAGAGACCTTTGTAAGGCCAAACGATTTTATTTAGAGACTGAAGGGGAGCAACTGTAAGGTATAAGCACAGTAATGACAAAATCAGACTTGCATTTCAAATGATTCACTCTGGCACAATGACCTCTAATGAATTAGTTTCCTGAATTTAATCTAATAATAATAGAGAAACATTTCAGACTCTGGGAAATAGACACAATAAATCATGATGGCAGAACGCAGCACTTCTGACTGCCTAGATGAGACTGAACACTAGAGTCCACTAATAAAGGTGCTACAATCAAAAGAGCAAAGTATTTGCTGCAGGGGAGCATTCTACTTGTGTCTGGCAGACTTCATGTACAGTGTTGGGAGGAAATGTTTAAAAAAGATTTGATAGTGGTTTGTAAATATTGGGAAAAAAACAGTGAGGAATTATGACTTCAGAAGGGAACATGTGGGATACCAATAATGTCAGATCCCAGAGAGGGAATGGTATACCTGAAGAAGACCAAGGTGGGTAAAGGGGGCTGTATCATCTAGTATGACTGACTCCCAGAAACAGAAACAATCTATCATAAAGAGATGTCCAAGAAACAACCCCTAAGTATGGAATTACCTGATAAAAAGTTCAAATTTGAGAGAGATAAAATTGTTTGCATATGGCAATCTGTGTAGATGAGAGTTTGGAATGTCTCAAGGGAGAACAGAAAATTGGAAGAACAAAACCGGGAATTTGAGCTTATGCCTTATCACTGAGAGGAATGAAGAATGTCATTGCCTTTTAATGTGAAGATGTCTTCTGTAGCAATACAAATTTCAGTAGTAGGTTGTCAAATATTAAGCTTACCTGGATTCAATTGCAAAATTAAGGAGAAAGATAAAGGAAAAAAATAGAGGAAAGGGGCAAAAAAAGAAAGAAAAACAATGTGTGTGATTGGGGGTTGACTAAGATGGAAAAAAACAATTTAGTGACTCAAGATTGCTGGGATTTCATCATAGCTTCATTTATTAAATTCTAGGTATCTTTTCAAGAAAGCTAAGTAATTTTTAGAAAAGCAATATTTTTCAAGAGACAATCTTGGCCTCGGCAAGGAAATGGTTATAACTGAAGATATGGGGCAATGTAGAAGAATTCAGAAGGAAACCAAATCTCTGGAAAAAGTGAGCTTTTTTTTTTTTCCATTTTAAAGGAACATAAATCTAGTTTCCAGTCCACAATCCCCGCCTATCCTCCAACTCCCCCAAATCCTGCAAGCCCATAGAAAGTGGAAAGTGTGCCAAAACAAACAGTGTGGCTGCAGCTCCGTGGATGAAGGGTGGGATGAGGTTCGAGTGGCAAGGGAGCATGACTGGCAGGCAACCAAATGGAATCACTTTAAAGCAATGCCACAAAATGGAGACTAAATGATATGAGGACTTTCAGAATTCAGAGAAAATGGGATATGCTTAGCAAAATCACAGAATAGATCCCCTACTCCAATTCCTTTTAAAAACCAGACAAACACAGAGGAAAAGAGAAAACGAAACAAAGCAAAACATACCTGCTCTCTTATCTGTCTTTAATTAAAGCATAAAATACCCTCCCTCTTCTCTTCTCCCAACCACCCAGGAACAGAAGAGCAACTGGCAGCAGCAGCTCAGGTGAAAGACTTCAGCCTTCCAGCTACAAAGAGGGGAGATAGCAGACAATGGAACTGGTGATTCATTACAAAAGAATACACTCTGGAGCGGCCTGCTGCCACATGGACTCACTGCACTATTTAAAGGAACAGCAACCCCCTTTCCAACCTCCCTTATTCCTAACACCTTCCCTCCTCTTGGTCCTGATGGAAAACAGATTTTGAAGAAAATGCCAGCAAAGCACTGAGCTGTCCAAGAAAGGGAGGGCTTTGTGTTCCATGGAAACTGGCAGTCTATACATAGTAGAGCACAAAAATTTTCTTTCACATCCACATTGTAAAATCTTTTCCTCTCTGCCTAGTACACTTTCCCTTTCAACAACAGATAGTATAACTGAGTTTGAGTTTGGCTAAACATTTATTCTTTACTAATTAGTGTTGAAGTCATTTGCAATTTTATTTTTCGTATTTTACACATAGTACAAGAATGATTTATCTTTCCTTCATATTCCACATTGCTATTTTCATAAATGTGAGATGCAATGATTTGGCCTATATACTTAAAAATAAGAGATCTCAGTGAAATACTCCAAGAACATATACACGAACAGCCCATAAAATTAATTTTTTAAGTATCACATAAGCATGTCTGCCTGCTTTATTAAAATTTTGTGATTAAATTGCCATTTGCTTCTTAGCAGAGCACTGATTACTTACTATAAACGACAGAACAGTTTACCAATTAAAATAAAAACAGTCCCTATAAAACTAGAGCATATGTAATAATAAAGCACATATACTGTGCAGATACTGACAAGGATCTAATACTGTATGATGAAAAAGTCATCCACTGAAATCCCTTTTCCAACAACTGGGAGATAGAAACTGGGAACTACAGAAATTGTATGATCTGAAGATGCAAAGAACCTAGGTAGCAAAACAGTGAAAACATACCCACACATCCCTATTATATTATAATAAACCATTTAACTTTGATAAACCAGTCCTAACCAGTATAGACATTCTATATTGAGAAAGCTTATGTGACAGGTCATTTTCAATTGTTAGGATTGGATGTCTGGCTCAAAAACACACACCCAAACACACACGCACGCATGCACGGCACAACACAACCACAGGACAAATGAAAAGATGTGGCCCAGCTGGTTATTTCCTTGGATTTTTCTCCCTAGATTACTAACAACTATGTACATTACAATAACACAGAAAGCAGACTCAACAAAACAAATAGGCTGGAATACTGAAAATCCACGTATTTGATATGCTATCCTTTCCAGTTGTATAATTACAGGATGGGCAAAAACTCATAAATTTTCTTCAATATTTAGCATATTCTGATAAAACATGGTGATTTTATTATTAGAATTATTAGGCACCCCAGAATCTTTCTGTTTCCATTTATTTCTTCTACTTCATTCCTAAAATTATAGTTTCCTTAAATACTAATTATTACAACCACAATATTAAGTGTGCATAAGCATGTGCACTCTAACTTAATGCTCACACACACCACACTTACCAGCTCCTCTAGAAATTAAGGGGAAATGTTCCAAGAGGCAACAGAAAACTCATTATAAAAATTTCCATTTTAGATAATTCTTTCACTGGTTAAAAAACATATATAATGAAAAGTCAAGTCACTGAAAAGCCTTCAGTAATTGCTAAGAAGAGAGCTGTTATCCTCTAATAGTTCCAGTTAATAAAAATTGAATGAGGGCTACAAGGTTAAGCAAGTATCATCTCTCAGGCAACAAAGAGAACCCAGAAATATGATTTCTCTTTTACATAAATTTTTTTAAATAAAGCAATATTTCAAAAGAAGTAATTAGATTGATGATGAGGGAATAAGACAAGGAAGATAAATATATCAAAAGCTTCTCCACTTTTACAAAAGGAGAAGGAGTTTTTGAAAAATTCTAAACTTAGATTTGGTGAAAAATTACTTTGAAAAGATATATTTGAAACTTCCCTTTCCTCTGGGTCACAATGGGAAAATCTCCCTACAGGTTTCCCTCCTTCCAAACAGCACTGCAGGGCATTATATAACTAAACAGGATTCCAGCCCCTAAAATGATGCCTCTATCCTGATAGCTAGCTGGCTCTCTCGCCCTCCTGGTGGTGACTGGGAGAGGAAGAGAATACAGAAAAGGGCAACCTCCTTAAAAGGAAAGCACTGTCCAGTGATGAAATTTCCCCACAGAGCATAGAAACCTGGAGTGAAACTGATCTTAAGTCTGAGACTAAAGAACTTGAATATTCTACAGCGTAAATGATTTGTCATTGATAAAGCGGAGCCTCATCATTTCCTCTCAACCTATACATAAAGGAAAAAGGGTAATGGGGCATACAGACGGATGCTAACAAGAAAAATTGCCTTGCCAGGGAGAACTGTGGTAGAGCATTCACCTTTCCATTTGTCAGGAATGACTTGCTAAAATGCAGATTAGATATTGCCTGGCATAACCAAAGAGAGGCAGGGAGAAAGAGGGGAAAAGGAGGAGGAGAGAGAAAAGGGCTTTGGAGGGGGCTTGGGGGAGAGAGTGAGTGGAAGAGAGAGAAGAGGACAGAAGAATGAAAGGGGAGAGAGGGAGGAGAGATATCTTCCATTTCCTACTCCCTCTCCTTCAAATGTATTTTAAAGCTTGTGTGACTGTGATTTGTACCCTTCGGATTTGTTCTCCTGTCAAGGAGGGCTCTACCTGCCTCTGTTACACCTGGATGCTCCCACTGAAAATCTTCTTTGACGGTAACAAAGCCGTGAAAATGAAACATTCTTTCCTAACCTTCATTTTTAATAAGGAGTTTAGAGTAACAGCAAAACTACAATTCCATAGCCAATCCTGAGAAACCAAAGTGAATAAGGAATCAGATTTCCCTATAACACAAATTCTTCTGCAATTCTTAAAAGGAATCCCGCTCCCCTCTTTTTGGCAGTCTACAAGAATCTCTTCCTACCTCTGCAGTCTTTCTCTCCCTCCCTTTTTCTCAGAACCAAGACAAAGAGGTAGACAAATCCCCACAGGGTCTTTCCTGAGCTACAGCTGCACAGTACAGGAAACAGGAATCTGCTATGGAGCTGAGGGAGGGGGAAGAAAGAAGGATATGGATATATAACACACACATAAACGGACTCCACAGACACAGACTTTTCAGCTGATAACAATAAATCTGGGCTGCTCTAAGAAGATAATAATAATTAAAACTCTTCTTACTATACTCCACCCTCAAACCTTCATTTAGATCCCAGAGAAGAGAAGAGACATACCGAGGAAGCAAAAATCTTACCTGAGTTACCATTTTCTTTTTCTCCATAAACCAAACGAATAGATGATAAACGCTTCAAAGCAGCCGTGCAGGGGCACACCTCCACAGCTTTCTTTTCCACCCCCCTCCCCCCCAATCTAGCTATTTAAGGGTGGGTAATTGATCTCCCTTTATACCGTTTTCCTTCCTTTTTCTTTCTAATGTTTCTTCCTTTCTTTTCTCTTCCTCTCTGCCAGTCTCTCCCCCTCCTTCTTTCTCCAGCTCCCTCCCATATCTCAGGCAGATGGCTGAAGGAAGCCCCACCCCTGAATGCCTAAGGTAATTAATCAGAGTAGAGCCCCACCTCTTCCTCCTCCCCCCACTCCCTCCCAGCAGGCTGACATCTCCCAACTCCAGAAGCAGGCCTGCTGGAGAATGGCAGTTTGGTGTGTGCTGTGCGCACGCGTGTGTGCGTGTACGTGTGCGTGTGCGTGTGTGTGTGTGTGTGAGAAGGGAGAAAGAGGGAGAGAGAGGGAGGGGCAAGCGCCACGTGCTGGCATATTTTAAGGATGCGATGATGGAATTAATTATACAGCACTAGAAGCATTCATAGCAGCTTACTATAGTTAATACAGATTTAAGAGATTCCAGCCATGAAAGTCTAATAAATGAGAAATGAAACAAAATTATTTTTAATATTAATAAAACATTTGTACTGATGTACAATTTATAGATGCAGTGAATTTAACAAGAAAGATGTGAAGAAGTGAAAAGCTGTTAGATGACCACTAACTGGAAGGTTTTTCAAGGAAAAGGAATATGCAAGAACTTGCTTGTCCTGGAAGACCAAATCAGCATTGTGAGAGCAAAGGACCATAAGAGAGGGGAGACGTAATGAGAGGTAATTTAAGTGGGTTTTTTTCCTACTGTAAAAAAAAAAACCTGGAGACTCTGAAAAACGTGTCTACAAATATGACTGCTTAAGAAACTTAAGATATACACAAAGGTGCATACAAATTTGCTTAAGGCTTCCAGCTTCAATAAAAATTTTGGTGAACTGAAAATTCACTCTTTGTTTTCCTAGCCTTCTATGTTTCATTCAGCCTTTATTGAAAAATATAAATCCTTTCTTATATGTGCCCTGGAAATTTGTGTCATTATTGTAAATAGTAATTGTTGTGGAGTGCTGTAAATACAGGTTTAGGAGAATACTGACAATAAGAGTTTCTTTAAAGTTCTCTTATTAAAATTATATAATTAAAAACTGCATCAAAGATGTGGTTCAGTACAGAGGTTGGTCTAATTCTGCCCTTTACTAGTGATCTTGAAAAGATCTTTAACCTCTGAATATAAATTTCATAATTTCCCTATTTTATAGTAAACATTCAAATAAAACAATTTATGTAAATGATGAGTTTATTATTTTTATCAGTTGTATCATAAAATTAAGATTCTCTAATTTTTTAAAGCATTCTAATAAATAGGATCCCATTCTAAAGGATTTATCAGATATTTTAGTTATGCTATATATTTTTAGGCTATAACCTCTAAAAGGCTACCCAAAGGTTAAAAAGATTAATTCCAAAATTAAGTTTCCCATTTTTATCTATTTTTATTTTTTACAGGCCCACAGCTAACATCACAAGCTCTCCATTTAAAAAACAAACATCTATAGAAGTCAAAATTCAAAACAGCAAATCATACTGAGAATACATAGTTTGTTGCTGTCTCCATAAAAATTGTTTGGCAACATGCAGAACCAGGCTTTTAAAAATGCTCTGTATTGGCCAGGCATGGTGTCTCACACCTATAATCCTAGCATTTTTGGAGGTTAAGGCAGGAAGATTTCTTGAGCCCAGAAGTTCGAGACCAGCCAGGGTAACATGGTTGAAACCCTGTCTCTACTGCGAAATAAATTTTTAAATTTTTTAAATTTAAAAAAAAAAAAAAGTGTTATATAACACTCTTGGCTGGGACACTGCCAATACAACATCATTACACCACCCTAAATTAATAATCATTTTAACAATGCTGAAAAGAACACAGGAACTACAAGACTATCTGTGGAACCTGGAGAAACTGATGTAACATAGTATGTCAGGCTCTCTTACGTACATTTTACAGATATCTGTATACTTGTATAATTCATAATCATAATTTAAAAAAGAATGAGATATACAAATATAAGGAACAACGCTGAGTAAAGTAATATAAATCAGTACTAGGCCTGTTCTTATTTAACACTTTTTAGAAGACAGAATATATAGTACTCTGAATTTGTAACTGAAAAGCCAATCAGAAGGAGATAAAAAGCAGTCAAATTTTCTTAAAGTGAGTAAGTAGAAAATGGGCAGGTGAGTTTCACTAGAAGCAACAGCAACCCAGTGTATTTTTGGAAAAAATCTAAATCAATATTAATGGCATAACTGTGTTTTCAGTTCTATATTAATTGAAATAAACCTCAGAATCACTATATATCAATCTCTGAATCCCCTCGTTCATTACACTGTTCTCAACAAAAAGCCAGGGGCACAAAGAAGACAGACCACCACCACCCCATAACCTATCCTTAGAAAAGCAGCAGCTATCTTGACGCTTAGGTATGACTGCAGCCTCTATACATCTTGGAAAGAGACAAGGCCCCAAGGTGTTTTTTTTGTTTTGTTATATTTTGTTTTTAAAGAAAAGGGCAAATGAGGAGTTCCCTTATGCAAAAAGTCTAAGACTATGTTTCCTCAGGCCAGGGATTCATGCTACTTTTCTATATTTAGAACCAGTATTTTACAATGCAAATAGGCTTAAAAATTTATTACAAGAAATAATTGGTACAAGCTAAAAAAAAATGTTACAATGATTTTTATAAACTCACTGAATAACAGGCTCATAGTGAGGTCTGACTGGCACAATGATATTCTGAAGTGTGTCCCTGGCATTATAGAGGACAATTTGCTCCCTGGTGTCTGAGAGAGAGAAGAGCAACTGAGCAGCTGGGGTCTGACCCAGCAAAACTGGAGTCCCCTGGTGGCTGAATGTGCCTGGTAATGTACCAAGGAGAAAATCATTTTAGGACATTTCCTGTATATGTGTTTAGGAGGAGAGGAACAGGCAGAAACTGGAAAGCTTTGAAACAGGGTGGGCACAGTGAGATGTCAGCTAATGAAGGAGGGCCTGCCTATCTACATGGACCAATCCCCAGCCTCCGGCACAGTACCTGGGACATGGTAAGTGCTCAAAAAATATTTATTAAATAAACAAATGAAGGAAAGAGGCACTTCTCCTTGTAGTCTCAATTCTTTGATTGTTTCCTCAATGTTTCATCTAATCTCCAGAATCCCAGCTTCCTTTCCTCCATACTGTTCAATTGAAATTTACCTTGGCTGCGCATGGTGGCTCATGCCTGTAATCCCAGCACTTTGGGAGGCTGAGGTGGTCAGGAGTTCGAGACCAGTCTGGCTAACATAGTGAAATCCCATCTCTATTAAAAATACAAAAATTAGCTGGGTGTGACAGTGGACGCCTGAAATCCCAGCTACTTGGGAGGCTGAGGCAGGAGAATCGCTTGAACCTGGGAGGCAGAGGTTGCAGTGAACCGAGATCATGCCACTGCACTCCAGCCTGGGTGACAGAGCGAGACTCTGTCTCATAAAAAAAAGAAAAGAAATTTACCTGACTGAAGTCACCAAAGGCCTCCAAATGATGGCCAAATTCAAAGGACATTTTATGTATTCTTTATCTGTGGTATTCGGCATTCCCTTCTTTGGAAAACTCTCACTCTTACCTTAAAATGATATAGTTTTTCTTGACTTTTCTCTTTCCCTGTTAACCCCCTTCCCCATCTTACTCTTCCCTCATCTACCAGCCTCTCAATTGTTGTTACTTGCAAGGTGTCATCCTCAGATCTCTTTTTACTGCACACCAAGAGGTTCTTAACCCAAAGTGCATGGTTCCTAACACAGGCACCCCAGTGGAAATTTTTGTTACATGCATTTCCATGCAGAGAAGATGTGTTGTATTTATCGGATTTTCAAAAGGGTCCAAAACTCAAAGAAGTTAACACTGCTGACCACACTTGTTCCAGGTGTTCCAACTCGTTCCATCACTTCAGTTACCACAAATTTACTCTGACAGCTCCCACATTTCTATTTTGAGTCCACACATCTCTTCCAAACACCATGTTTCTGTTTTTCTTCCCTTGAATATGGCCGACTATACGGCTAATTTATCCTTCAAGGCTTACTTCAGAAATCCCCTACTCCAGAAAGCCTTTCCTGACCCTACCTGTTCCCCCATCTAGTTTAGGTACCCCTTACCTGTGAGCATACTTTACCTTAGCACCTAATTCATGGAACGTGACTACTCGAGTTACTGGCATAACTATGACTAGACTATGAGCAGTCTGAGGGTAGAAATCATGTTTTAGACCATATCCCCAGTTCTTAACCCAGATCTGAATACACAGTAAATGAGTATTTGTTGAAATCAAACAATAATGCCTTGATTTCTATTACTCTAGCCATTTATTTGTTAACACATGGATACATCAGAATGAGGAGCACCTATGTAGTTATAAAAATATTATAAAAGCATTCTTTCTTCCAAGAATGCACTTGGAAATATCTTCAAATTTATAAATTTACTTCAGTTTTTTGTTGTTGTTGTTGTTTTGAGAAGGAATCTCACTCTGTTGCCCAGGCTGCAGCAGTGGTGCGACCTTGGCTCACTGCAACCTCCACCTCCCAGGTTCAAGCAATTCTCCTGTCTCAGCCTCCCAAATAGCTGGGACGAAGGCACACACGACCATACCCGGCTAGTTTTTTCATATTTTTAGTAGAGACAGGGTTTCACCATGTTGGCCAGGCTGGGGTCAAACGCCTGACCTCAGGTGATCCACCTTCCTCGGCCTCCCAAAGTGCTGAGATTATAGGTGTAACCCACCACGCCTGGCCTTACTTCAGTTTTATCTTCAGTAACTTTCAGAAATCTGCAGCTGAAAGGAAGATGTATAAAAAGAGTGGGAGAAAGCCTTCATTTTCCATTTTATTAGAATAGTTCAGATTCTAGACAAAGTAATACCCACTCATTTAAAAAAAAAAAAACTTTAGGTGTTCTTGCTCTTCACAATTTTATATAGGAGTGACTCAACTTCCCTACAGTCTACCCACATACCAGCACTGCTATAAAAACAGATCCAAGAGTCCCTGTCTAGAAGGCAGGGCTTGCTCCAACTTTCCCAGGCTTCCTCTGACACCCAAGTGAAAGGCACATTAAAGGGAGAGCATTTCCTGCAGTAATAAAAACTTGTTGGTATAAAGGCTCTTCACAGCATGCCCCCACACAATAACCCTAACCAAATATAAATAACAATTTACACCTAACAGATATTAAATACCTCCCCAGAAACACCTCTAACACAATACCACTCTAATATCCTTTGCCCCAACATTCTCCTTGACATAAATGAAGTCAAATTACAGTCAACTATTATTTCCCTAACTTTATTTCTCTAGTTTAGGCAGAGTTCAGCTATATAGAACTCATTCAAAAAAATAAAAATAAAAAAAGAGGTGAGGGTGTAATTTGAAATCAACTGCTTCAGCTCTTACAGGCTTATTAAAAACAATCCTCATTTATTTCCTGTCCCTCAAAAGTCAAATATTTAGTACAAAACCACAAATAACATAAACTAAGACATCAGTGAGGTCCAGCAAATCAGAAAATTTAATTCATAAATTCCTATCTGTCTTTGGGTAACTTATTCATATCTTTAAGAAATCCCAAACCCCAGATAACTAGGGTCATACATACAACTGAAATTATGTGTACACTGTATTCTATGAGAGATTAAGGAGAAGGTTCTCAGACAAATATGAAAATGAATGGGATGTAAACAAATTTATCAATAACTGGGTTATCAAGAAGATAATACATGATTAATCTGTGAAAACCGAAGAGTGCTGTTTCTCCAACAATATGCCATGAATATGCCATGTCTCTATTATTAGATTACAGCAAACTTTGCTGTCTTTTTCACCACCAATATCCCTGTGCCTGGCATAATATCTGGCACACAGTAGGTACTCAAAAAAAAGTTGGTACACAATAAACTAATTCAGAATGAGAAAATAAATTCAATTTATATAAATTATATAAACTTTCATGTTACTATAATTACATAAACTATATAAGTAAATTAATTTATATTGTGTGCATGTATTGCTTAACATCAAGGTCAACTTCCCATGAAGAATTGGACAGCCTACTGGCTAATTCATTCTACAGCATTTTGCAGACCTGAGCATACCACAGTATCGAAAGTGTCCTTTAGGCCAGGAATGGTAGCTCATGCCTCTAATCCCAGCACTGTGGGGGGCCGAGGTGGTGGATCACCTGAGGTTGGGAGTTTGAGGCCAGCCTGGCCAACACAGTAAAACCCTGTTTCTACTAAAAATACCAAAAAAAAAAAAAAAGTTTTTTTTGGACAGGGGGATTATAGGCGTGGTGGTACACACGGTGGGGGAGGTTGCAGTGAGCTAACGCCATTGCACTCCAGCCTGGGTAACGAGAGAGAAACTCCGTTTCAAAAAAAGGTGTCCTTTAGATAGGTTAGTTTCTGTCTCTCAATCTTCCAGATGCCTAATATCCTTAAGCTGTCCTTGGCTACCCTAAACCCTCAAATCAGGAAATTTAGCTATACCTCTAACACTTTAAGACCCTGCTTCCTCTTCCTCCTATTGCCCCATTTGCCACTTGGATGACAGTTTAAGTAAAAGTGTCTAAGGAAAACCTGTGATAAAAGACAATGCCCTTAACTTACAACAAGTTACATTTTAACCATCTG